CCCCCCCCCCACATACACTGATCACTGCCCCCCCCACACATACACTGATAAGCTGCCCCCCCACACATCACACTGTCCCCCGTCCCCCCCCCCCCACATACACTGATCACTGCCCCCCCCCCCACCCATACACTACCACTGTCCCCCCCCCCCCCCCCACACACACACATACACTGATCCACTAAACCCCCCCCCCCCACCCACAAACACACTGATCACTGTCCCCCCCCCCCCCCCACACATACACTGATCACTGTCCCCCCCCCCACACGTACACATATAATCACCCCCCCCACCCCCACATACACTGATCACTGTCCCCCCCCCCACTTACACTGATCACTGTCCCACCCCCCCCACCCCACATACACTGATCACTGTCCCCCCCCCCCCCCCACATCCACTGATCACTGTCCCCCCCCCCCCCACACTAATGACACTGTCCCCCCCCCCCCCCCACACATACACTGATCACTGTCCCCCCCCCCACACATACACTGATCAAAACCCCCCCCCCCCCGCCCCACATAACACTGATCACTGTCACCCCCCCCCACATACACTGACACTGCCCCCCCCACATACACTGATCACTGCCCCCCCCCCACACACATACACTGATCACTGTCCCCCCCCCCCCCCCACACCCCACACACATACACTGATCACTACAACCCCCCCCCCCCCCCCACACAACACACTGATCACTGTCCCCCCCCCCCCCACATACACTGATCACTGTCCGTCCCCCCCCCCATACACACACTGATCACTGCCCCCCCCCACATACACTGATCACTGTCCCCCCCCCCCCACATACACTGATCACTGTCACATCCCCCCCCCCCCCACATACACTGATCACTGTCCCCCCCCCCCCCACAATACACTGATCACCACTGTCCCCCCCCACATACACTGATCACTGTCCCCCCCCCCACATACAACTGATCACTGTCCCCCCCACATACACTGATCACTGTCCCCCCCCCCCCCACAAACACTGATCACTGTCCCCCCCCCCACATTAACGCTGACACTGTCCCTCCCCCATACCCCACTTACATCCCCCCCCCACACACCCATGATCACACAACCCGTCCCCACCACAACGCTGATCACTGCCCCCCCCCCCCCATACACTGATCACTGGCCCCCCCCCACACTGATCACTGCCCCCCCCCACATACACTGATCCCACCCCCCCCCCCCCCCCCACATATACACTGATCACTGTCCCCCCCCCCCCACATACACTGATCAACTGCCCCCCCCCCCCACATACACTGATCACCCCTCCCCACTACACTGATCCACTGCCCCCCCCCCCCCCCACATACACTGATCCCTGCCCCCCCCCCCCCCCCACATGCACTACTGATCGCTGCCCCCCACCCCCACACAAACACGCATGACACGCAACCCCCCCATACACATCTGATCACTGTCCCCCCCCCCCCACACACACATACACTGATCACTGTCCACACTGACCCCCTCCCCCCCACCCACATACACTGATCACTGCCCCCCCCCCCCCCCACAGCCTCACATAACATATGATCACTGTCCCCCCCCCCCCCCCCCCCACACACATACATTGATCACTGTCCTCCCCCCCACCCCCACCCCACTGATCACTGTCCCCCCCCCCCCACACACAACATTGATCACCCCCCCCCCCCACATACCTGCAATCACCCCCCCACCCCCCCCCCACCCACACACACTGATCACTGTCCCCCCCCCCCCCCCCCCCCACATACACTGATCACTGCCCCCCCACATACACTGACCACCCCCCCACCCCACATACACTGATCACTGTCGTCTCCCCCCCGCATACACTGATCACTGCCCCCCCCCCGCACCCACTGATCACTGCCCCATACATACACTGATCACTGTACCCCCCCCCCCACATACACTGATCACTGCCCCCCCCCCCACATACAGTGATCACTGTCCCCCCACCCCCCCCCCACATACACTGATCACTGTCCCCCCCCACCCCCACACACTATCACTGCACCCCCCCCCCCCACATACACTGATCACTGTCCCCCCCCCACATACACTGATCACTTGATCGACCCCCCCCATAACACACCACTGCCCCCCCCCCGCACATACACTGATCACTGCCCCCCCCCCTACATACACTGATCACTGCCCCCCCCTACATACACTGATCACACCCCCCCCCCCCCCCCCCCCACATACACTGATCACTGACCCCCCCCCCCCCACATACACTGATCACTGCCCCCCCCCCATACCTTAATCACTGTCCCCCCCCCCCCCCACAATACACTGATCACTGTCCCCCCCCACATACACTGTCCCCCCCCCCCACATCACTGTCCCCCCCCCCCCCACACACACGGTCCCCCACCCCCCCCCCCCCGCACATACACTGTCCCCCCCCCCCGCACATACACTGATCACTGTACCCCCCCCCCCCCCCCCCCACGTACATTGATCACTGTCCCCCCCCCCCCCCCCCACAATACACTGATCACTGGCCCGTCGCCCCCACATACACTGATCACACTGTCCCCCCCCCCCCCACACACACACACATGATACTGTCCCCCCCCCACCATACACTGATCACTGTCCACCCCCCACACCAACTCGTTTTAAAAAAAACATGGGATCTATTCCACATTCTCACAGCTCTCACACTGTGAAGAAACCTTATCGTTCCGGGGGGGGGGGGGATGTTTGGGGGGGAGAATTACATTGGGGGATCTTTACCCTCCAGACGTAAAGAGCGCCCCCTTGTCCTCTGTGATGACCTCAGGGGGAATAACTACACCGAGTTTCACTATATGAAACCACTTATGTATTTATACATGGAGATCATATCCCCCCCTTATGTATTATACATGGAGATCATATCCCCCCCCCTTTTGTATTATACATGGAGATCATATCCCCCCTTATGTATTATACATGGAGATCATATCCCCCTTATGTATTATACATGGGAGATCATATCCCCCCCCCCTTATGTATTTATACATGGAGATCATATCCCCCCCTTATGTATTATACATGGAGATCATATCCCCCCTTATGTATTATACATGGAGATCATATCCCCCCCTTATGTATTATACATGGAGATCATATCCCCCCCCCCTTATGTATTATACATGGAGATCATAATCCCCCCTTATGTATTATACATGGAGATCATATCCCCCCCTTATGTATTATACATGGAGATCATATCCCCCTTATGTATTATACATGGAGATCATATCCCCCTTATGTATTATACATGGAGATCATATCCCCCCTTATGTATTATACATGGAGATCATATCCCCCCCCTTATGTATTATACATGGAGATCATATCCCCCCCCTTATGTATTATACATGGAGATCATATCCCCCCCCTTATGTATTATACATGGAGATCATATCCCCCCTTATGTATTATACATGGTGACATATCCCCCCCCTTATGTATTATACATGGAGATCATATCCCCCCTTATGTATTATACATGGAGATCATATCCCCCCCCTTATGTATTATACATGGAGATCATATCCCCCCCCTTAATGTATTATACATGGAGATCATATCCCCCTTATGTATTATACATGGTGATCATATCCCCCCACCCCCCCCTTATGTATTAATACATGGAGATCATATCCCCCTTATGTATTATACATGGTGATCATATCCCCCCCTTATGTATTATACATGGAGATCATATCCCCCCTTATGTATTATACATGGAGATCATATCCCCCTTATGTATTATACATGGAGATCATATTCCCCCTTATGTATTAATACATGGAGATCATATCCCCCCCTTATGTATTATCTCTCTCTCTCTGGAGTCTATACCTCTCCTAATACAAGAGAGGATTTTGCTCACTTTAGAACCCGCAGCTTGGCATTGCTGCCATTATTAAGCTTGTGATCTACCAGAACCCCCCAGATCCTTCTCCACCATTGACCCCCCCCCCCCCCAAGAGTCTTCATCATTGACCCCCCCCCCCCCCCCTGTTGTACCCCCCTAGTATGTATGATGCATATTCTTGGTCTCCAAGTACATACCCTTACATGTATCACCATTAGCCCTCATTGGCCCCATAGCCCCCCAATTACACAGAGCATTGAGGTCGGATGTAAGTTGGAGACATCCTGTAAGGACGTTATTCCCCGGCACAGCTTGGTGTCATCTGCAAAGACTGGAATGGGATTTATAATCTCACACCCCCATATTGTTTATAAAATGTATTAAGAAGTAAGGGTCCCAACACTGAACCCTTGGGGTACCCCACTAATGACACTGACCCTTGGGGTACCCCACTAATAACACTGACCCTTGGGGTACCCCCACTAATAACACTCAACCTTGGGGTACCCCATTAATAATACTGAACCCTGGGGTACACCACTGACACTTATCCTTGGGGTACTCCACTAATAACACTGAACCTTGGGGTACCCCACTAATGACACTGAACCTTGGGGTACCCCAGTAATAAACACTGAACCCTGGGGTACCCCACTAATAACACTGAACCTCGAGGTACCCCACTAATAACACTGAACCCTGGGGTACCCCACTAATAACACTGAACCTTGGGGTACCCCACTAATAACACTGAACCTTGGGGTACCCCACTAATAACACTGAACCTTGGGGTACCGCACTAATAACACTGAACCTCGGGGTACCCCACTAATAACACTCAACCTTGGGGTACATTACTAATAACACTGAACCTTGGGGTATCCCACTACTGACACTGAACTTTGGGGTATCCCATTAATAATACTGAACCTTGGTGTACCCCACTAATAACACTGATCCTTGGGGTACCCCACTAATAACACTGAACCTTGGGGTACACCACTGACACTGAACCTTGGGGTTCCGCACTGATGACACTGAACCTTGGGGTACCCACTAATAACACTGAGCCTTGGGGTACACCACTGACACTGAACCTTGGGGTACACCACTAATAACACTGAATCCTGGGGTACCCCACTGACACCCTAAACCATTCAGAGTATGAATCATTATCCACTACTCTCTGAATACAATCTTTTAGCCAGTTTTCTATCCATTTACATACAGATATTTCCAGCCCATAGACTTTACCTGACACATTAGCCGTGTGTGGGGAACTGTGTCCAAGTATACCACGTCCACCGCCACCCCTCTGTCCCAGGGATACCACGTCCACCGCCACCCCTCTGTCCAAGTATACCACGTCCACCGCCACCCCTGTCCAAGTATACCACGTCCACCGCCACCCCTCTGTCCAAGTATACCACATCCACTGCCACCCCTTTGTCCAAGTATACCACGTCCACCACCACCCCCCCCTCTGTCCAAGTATACCACGTCCACTGCCACCCCTTTGTCCAAGTATACCACGTCCACCGCCCCCCCCTCTGTCCAAGTACACCACGTCCACTGCCACCCCTCTGTCCAAGTATACCACGTCCACCGCCCCCCCCCTCTGTCCAAGTATACCACGTCCACCGCCCCCCCCCCTCTGTCCAAGTATACCACGTCCACCGCCCCCCCCCCTCTGTCCAAGTATACCACGTCCACCGCCACCCCTCTGTCCAAGTATACCACGTCCACCGCCCCCCCTCTGTCCAAGTATACCACGTCCACCGCCCCCCCCCCCCTGTCCAAGTATACCACGTCCACAGCCACCCCTCTGTCCAAGTATACCACGTCTACCGCCACCCCCCTCTGTCCAAGTATACCACGTCTGCCGCCACCCCTCTGTCCGAGTATACCGCGTCCGCCGCCACCCCTCTGTCCGAGTATACCACGTCCACCGCCACCCCCCTCTGTCCAAGTATACCGCGTCCGCCGCCACCCCTCTGTCCGAGTGTACCGCGTCCCCCGCCACCCCCTCTGTCCGAGTGTACCGCGTCCCCCGCCACCCCTCTGTCCGAGTGTACCGCGTCCCCCGCCACCCCTCTGTCCGAGTGTTCCGCGTCCCCCGCCACCCCTCTGTCCGAGTGTACCGCGTCCCCCGCCACCCCTCTGTCCAAGGTTTTGCTCACCTCCTCATAAAAAGAAATCAGATTTGTGTGACAACTTCTGTCTTTCATGAATCCATGCTGTCTGTTGCTTAAAATATTTGTTTCCAGCAAGAACTCCTCTCTGTGGTCTTTTATTAAACTCTCCAGTATCTTCCCAACTATAGAAGTTCCACTAACAGGTCTATAATTACTTGGGAAAGATTTTGACCCCTTTGTAAATATTGGCCCCACATTGGCCTTACACCAATCCAGTGGTACTGTGCCAGTCATTAAAGAGGCCCTAAAAATGAGAAACAATGGCTGTGAGATGACAGAGCTGACTTCTTTAAGGCCCCCGTGGGTGTATGCCATCCGGTCCACGGCTTTATTCACCTTTATTCTGTCTAAATATTTCTGGATCATATCAATTGTGAGCCAATGTGGATCATCTGGAGCTGTGTCAGTACCACCCCCCATTATGGCCCCCCATGCTCCTTTGTATACACAGATCTGAAGAAGGGATTTCATACATTGTCCTTCTCTTTGTCCCCAGTCACCCCCTCTAGATGGTCCTGTAAAGGGCCTACATGCTGGGGACCGGACCTTTCTACTATTCATATATTGGAGGAATGTTTTGGCATCGGTTCTGCTATCTTTTGCAATCTGTTGTTCGATTTCAATTTTTGCGCCTTATTTCCTTTTTGCATATTCTGTTCTATTCTTTGTAATGTGTAAACGATGATCGCGTTCCTTCATTGTTATATTTAATAAAAGCTCTTTTCTTATTATCTATCGCTTTTGTAACTTTGGCCGTAAGCCACTTAGGTTTGCTTTTTAGCCTTTTATACTTGTTGCCCATTGGAATATATTTTGCAGTGTGTTCACATACAGTCTTTATGAAGAACTCCCACTTCTGTGTTGTGTTCATCGATGCCAATATTCCCTCCCAGTCTAAGTCCTGGAGAGCAGCTCTCAGCCTTTGAAAATTAGCTCTCTTAAAATTGAGCATTTTTTATTTTAGCTCTCTTGAAATTGAGCGTTTTATTGTTGTTTACAATAAATGATATCATGTTATGGTAACTGCTACCCAGATGTTCTTTTATATGGACAGTCGTAATAAGCTCTGCATGGTTGGAGATGACCAGGTCCAGCAGAGCATCATTCCCTAGTTGGGGCTTCAATGACCTGTACCATAAAAATTGTCCTGTAGTAGGTTTATACATTTTTGCCCTTTAACATGTTTCCTGCAGTACCATTACTCCAGTCAATTTCCGGGTAATTACCATCCCCCATTATTATCACTGTCCCAGTCCTTGCAGCCCTTTCCGTCTGTGCAAGGAGCTGAGTCTCCACCTCCTCATTAACACTGGGAGGCCTATAACAAACTCCAATGATTACCTCTGTAGCACTGCCCCCCCCCCCCCCCAATCCCTACACTGATCACTGTCCCATCCCTACACTGATCACTGTCCCCCCCCCCCCCCATCCCTACACTGATCACTGTCCCACCCCTCATCCCTACACTGATCACTGTCCCATCCCTACACTGATCACTGTCCCCCCTGCACTGATCACTGCCCAGACTGTACTGGCCTAGACGCCTGCTTGTTCTGGTCCAGACAACTCTGTATACACACACTGGCTGACAAAACTTCCACCGGGCATTGTGGGAGGAGCTTCTGAGCAGAGAAAACCTGCGACTGCACCTAATGTATTCCAATGACCAGAGAAATGAATAATCCGGATTCCAGTGGAATGTGTTCGTGCTCAGACCCCCAAAAACACCCCAATATATTGTGTCCTTGCAGGTTCTGGCCGGGAGGCCCCATTGCAACTGGACACCCTGCAAGCCCACTTCCTGCTCCACCTACAGCTGAATAACCCCCCCCCCCCCCCCCCCCCCCCCCCATTTCCATTATTCATCATGGAAAACACATTGTATCAATATTACTACTGGCATCACCTGACTCCCCATCCCCACCCCCAGCATCTATTAATAAGAATAATAATATTTGATGGATACATTGTATAAATATTCCTTCCAGTATCACCTTCTTCCTTCTTTTATTCTTCTCCCTCTTTTTTTTTTTTTTTTTTTTCCTTCTCCTTTCTTTTCTTTTCTCTTACCAGTATCACCCAATCTCACTTATTACTATTATTGTTGTTATATGAATAATATTGCATTCATGTTACTACCAGCATTACTTAACCACACCCTACCCCCCCCCCCCCCATATATTATTAATATAACTGATTTATGGATTGCATTATTACTACCATTACCACCTGGCTGCACCCCTCCCCCACTGTACTATTATTATTATCATTATTGTTATTATCTGATGAATACATTGTAGTAATCTTCTTACCAGTATTACTTCCTATTTATTATAATAATAAAGAGAATATTTCTATTGTTATTATTCCCTTCCTACCAGCATTACTTCCTAATTTTTATTGTTGTTAATAATAATACTTCATATTTTTTTATTATTTATTACCTCCTAAAAGTGTTACTTCATATTTTTTTATTGTTATTATGAACACTGGTAGGAAGGTAATAATAATTATTATTATATCTGATGAATACATTGTAATAACCTTCCTACCAGTAATACTTCCTATTTATTATAATAATAAAGAGAATATTTCTATTATTACCTTCCTACTAGTATTACTTCCTATCTATTACAATGTATTCATCAGATAATAATAAAAAATAGGAAGTAATACTTGTAGGAAGGTAATAATAGAAATATTCTCTTTATTATTATAATAAATAGGAAGTATTACTGGTAGGAAGGTTATTACAATGTATTCATCAGATATAATAATAATTATTACCTTCCTACCAGTGTTCATAATAACAATAAAAAATATGAAGTAACACTTTTAGGAAGGTAATAAATAATAAAAAATATGAAGTATTATTATTAACAACAATAAAAAATAGGAAGTAACACTATTAGGAAGGTAATAAATAATAAAAAATAGGAAGTAATACTGGTAAGAAGGTTATTACAATGTATTCATCATATATTATTTTTTTTAATATTATTACCTTCCTACCAGTGTTACTTCATATTTTTTTTATTATTTTTAACGACAAAAAATAGAATGTAATACTGGTAGGAAGGTAATAATAATACAATAATATATAATAAATACATTGTAATAATCTTACCAGTATAAGGGCTCGTTCACACTAGGCTGTTTTGCCAACGCTTGCCAAACGCCCCTATAGCGTTTGGCAAGCGTTGGTCCGGTGTTTGCGGAGCGTTTTTAAAAACGCTCCGCAAACGCCGCATGCGCGGTTTTAGCGGCGGTTGCTAGGCGTTTGCCGAGCGTTAATAACGCCCCACAAACGCCTATAATGCATTTGAGTGGTGTTACCGCTCCGCAAACACCCCGCAAACCGCGTCGCAACCGCAAAACGCCGGCCGGGTGTTTGCGGAGCGGCACCATAGACGAGAATAGGAGGCTTCAAAGCCTCCTGACTCGACCAGAGGCGTCCGTTTTGCCGCGACGCGACGCAAACGCTCCTGTTAGAACAGCACCATGTGCTGCAATGTGCAGAATTGGCAGAGGCGCCTGTCTTGGGAAGCCTTACTTCCTATGAAAAAATAAAAACGCTTCCCAAACGCCTCTACTGCCTCCTGCACACAAGGCTAGTGTGAACATAGCCTTACTAACAATGGTATAGAAGGGTTATTATTTTTTATTGTTTTAAAAATAATAAAAAAAATATGAAGTAACACTGGTAAGAAGGTTACAATTACAATGTATTCATCATATATTATTATTGTATTATTATTACCTTCCTACTAGTGTTACTCAATCAGAATAAAAATATTTTTTATTATACATATTAATTGTAATAAAACCTTCTCCTACCATTACTACTTCATAGCAATGTAATTCATCAGATAATAAATATGAAGTAACACTGGTAAGAAGGTTATTACAATTATTATGATGTATGATTATTACCTTCCTACCAGTGTTACTACATATCAATGTATTCATCAGATACTTCATATTATTTATTAACACTGGTAAGAAGGTTATTACAATGTATTCATCATATATTATTATTGTATTATTATTACCTTCCTACTAGTGTTACTTCATATTTTTTTTTGATTGTTTATTATTATTATACTTAACAACAATAAAAAATAGAATGTAATACTGATAGGAAGGTAATAATACAAAATAATAATATATATATGATGAAGACATTGTAATAACCTTCCTACCAGTATTACACATTCTATTTTTTTATTGTTGTTAAATATAATAATAACAATAAAAAAAATATGAAGTAACACTGGTAGGAAGGTAATAATCATACAATAATAATTGTAATAACCTTCTTACCAGTGTTACTTCATATTTATTATCTGATGAATACATTGATATGAAGTAGTACTGGTAGGAAGGTAATAATTATTCCATCTGATGGATACATTGTAATGACCTCCCTAGCAGTATGACTTCCTATTTATTACAATGTATTCCTATAATAACACAATAATCCTTTTGGAAACATTCTACTAATACTGGCAGCATCACCCCCCCCCCCCCCCCCCCAGCATACATTCTTCTTCTTCCAATCTGATGGATACTTTGTATGAATCTTCCTTCCCGGATCACCTGAGTTGACTTCTGATTATGATTCTTGTTGATACCTCTGAACCCCCCCCCCCCCGCCCCTCCCGCCCTGACCACACCTCCCCCTTCATACAAACTGTTAGTTTTAAAGGAAAGCTCCATTTGCCTTATTAAAAAAAAAAAAAAAAAAAAAAACGGATCTACAGCACACCTCCCCCTTCTCCAGACACCGTTCTGTTCTGTGTGTTGCGGGAGATGATTTCTGCCCTTCAGTCTGCGGCGGTATTTGAGCCCAGAAATCTAGAACTGGCGGAGAACACAAATGTGGTTTTCCTGTAACCATGGCAACCAGAAGGGTTCTGTACACCGTGCACTTAAAGAACGCCACCGAAAAATGTATTGCCCGTGTGATTGGCTCGCTGGTTTTCCCAGCAGTTATCACCTGATCATGTGACTGTGGCTGGCAGACCCCGCCCACTGGGCACTGAGGAAGGAGGAGGTGACTGGAATGCGTCGGTGGTCCCTAGGGCGGGAGCAGGGCCATTGCGTTATGACTACATCCCACAGATGCTTGAATAGATTGAGATCTGGAGGATTTGGGGGCCAAGTCAACACCTCAAACTCATTGTTGTGTTCCTCAAACCATTCCTGAATTCATCAGACCGGTCCACCTTCTTCCATGGCTCCATGGTTTGGTTCTGAGGCTCACATGCCCATTGTAGGCACTATTGGCTGTGGACAGTATGAACCTCCTGACCGGTCTGTGTCTACACAGCCCCCCATACACAACAAACTGCGACACTCTGTGTGTCCCGACACCTTTCTATCAGAACCGGCATTCACCATTGGCTTCTATTGGCTCCAACTACATAGACCAACCTTCCCTCCCCACCTCCATCCTGAGCCTTCCCTCCGTCGCTGAGCCTTCCCTTCCCCCCCACCTCCGTCGCTGAGCTTTCCCCCCCCCCCCCCTCCCCCCCACCCGTCGCTGAGCCTTCCCTCCCCCCCCTCCGTCGCTGAGCCTTCCCTCCCCACCTCCGTCGCTGAGCCTTCCCTCCCCACCATCCGTCGCTGAGCCTTCCCTCCCCCCCCTCCGGTCGCTGAGCCTTCCCTCCTCCCCCACCTCGGTCGCTGAGCCTTCCCTCCCCCAATGAGCCCCCCCCTTGCACCTCCATCCTCATCTCCCAATCAAAAAAATACATTAATAATAATACATTATTGTTCTTATGTTTTAACCCATAAACTTAACCCCCTAAAAACGTAATAAAATCAGAACAATATTTTTTTTATTGTATTTTTTTTTTTTGATCGGGTGTTTTTATTATTATTATTAACACCCAATCAAAAAAAATACATTAATAAATTATTCTTATTTGATTACATTTTCAGGTTTTAGGGGGTTTAGGTTATAGGTTAATTATTAATTTTTTTCAAGTATTTATGATTATTTATTTTATTTGCGTATTTTATATTTATTTATATTATTGTGTATTTTTTTTTTGTTCTGCTTTAGTTGTTTGTTTTTTTTTCTTGTAATAATAATAATTTGTTATATTTTTTTTTAGGGGTTAGGGGGTTATTGTTATGGGTTAATTATTTATTATTATACAGGATTTATGGCGCCAACAGTTTGCTCAGCGCTTTAACAATATAAAGGGAGACAATGCAGCAACAATACAGTTCAATACAAGAGGGATAGGAGGGCCTGATCCTGGGAGCTTACAATGTATTAATACATAGTATTTATTTATGATTAATTTTATTTGTGTATTTATTTTACATTATTATTATTATTATTAATATCACCCTAACAAATAAAAAAAAATAAGAAAATAAATAAAATGCTAACTCCAACCCAAAGCCTAACCTTAAGTCTAGCCTCTTACCCTAACAAAAAAACCAAAATAATAAATAATTAAAAAAAAAAAAAAGAAATAAAAGTTGAAGCAGAAAAACCTAGCAACAAATGATGCAATAGATATTTTTCTCTAAAAAAAAAAAAAAATGCCAAAGTTCAAAAACTGGTAAAAACGCTGTATGAAAATGTGCAAACATCACGGTAAAATATGCGCGACAAATGCTACGCTCAGATGTGAATGGAGCCTTAGGATTGGCTCACAACTACAGGTGCGGTGCAGCATGGGGGTGTGTTTCTGCGAATTGCGTGTAGTATTATTATTATTATACAGTATTTATAAAACGCCAAGGGTTTGCTCAGCGCTGTACATTATAGTGGGGACAGAACATGAGACAGTGTAATACAATACTTGAGGGGTTAGAGGGCCCTGCTCCTTGGAGCTTACAATCTAGGAGGGAGGGGGTAGTGGTACAGAGAGAAGTGGCTGTGGGGGATGGAGTGGAGGAGATCGGCAGTTAGGTGAGGGTGGGGTAGGCTTCCCTGAAGAGATGGGTTTTCAGGGTGCGCCTAAAGGTGAGGAGGGAAGGTGACAGTCTGATGGATTGGGGTAGGGAGTTCCAGAGGATGGGGGAAGCCCTGGAGAAGTCCTGCAGTCGGGCATGGGAGGAGGAGATCAGGGAGCTAGAGAGCAGGAGGTCTTGTGAGGAGCGGAGAGTACAGGTTGGGTGGTATTTGGATATCAGATCGGTGATGTAGTTTGGGGCAGTGTTATGAACAGCTTTGTACATCAGTGTTAATATTTTGAATTTTATGCGTTGGGCAATCGGAAGCCACTGGAGGGATTGGCAGAGAGGGGTGGAGGACACTGAGTGGAGGCCAGTGGAGGGATTGGCAGAGGGGGGTGGAGGACACTGAGTGGAGGCCAGTGGAGGGATTGGCAGAGAGGGGTGGAGGTCACTGAATGGAGGCCAGTGGAGGGATTGGCAGAGAGGGATGGAGGACACTGAGTGGAGGCCAGTGGAGGGATTGGCAGAGAGGGGTGGAGGTCACTGAATGGAGGCCAGTGAAGGGATTGGCAGAGAGGGGTGGAGGTCACTGAGTGGAGGCCAGTGGAGGGATTGGCAGAGAGGGGTGGAGGACACTGAATGGAGGCCAGTGGAGGGATTGGCAAATAGGGATGGAGGACACTGAGTGGAAGCCAGTGGAGGGATTGGCAGAGAGGGGTGGAGGACACTAATCGGAGCCAGTGGAGGGATTGGCAGATACGGAGCGGTTGGTAAGGTGGATGAGTCTGGCCGCAGTATTCAGGATAGACTGGAGGGGGGATAGTCTGCGATGAGGTAGGCCGGCGAGGAGGGAGTTACAGTAGTCAAGTCGTGAGATAATATAGGGAGTGAATGAGTTGCTTTGTGGTTTCCGTGGTTAGGAACGAACGTATTTTGGAGATGTTGCGGAGGTGGACTCTACATGAGTTTGCCAACGATTGGACATGGGGCTGGAAGGACAGATTGGAGTCTAGGATGACACCCAGTACTCTGGCTTGTGGGGGGGGGCTGATGGTGGCGTTGTTGGTCGTGATGGAGAGGTCGGGGGGGGGGGAGCTGGGGGGAAGACTAGGAGCTCAGTTTTAGCAAGCTTTAGTTTGAGGAAGTGGAGCGACATCCAGTCTGATATGTCACTCAGTAGGTGGTGATATGGGTGGAGACTGAAGGGGTGAGTTGAGGGGTGGAGAGGCAAATTTGCGTGTCATCGGCTTAGAGGTGGTAGTTGAAGCCGTGAGAGTGTATGAGTTGGCCAAGGGAGGAGGTGTAGATGGAGAAGAGAAGGGAAGGAGGACAGAAGCTTGGGGGACCCCAACAGAGAGGGGGAGGGAGGCAGCGTTATAGGTAACACTGAAGGAGCGCTGTGATAGGACAAGAGCCAGGAGAGAGTGGAGTCTCTGAGGCCAAAAGAGAGTAGTTTTTTGAGGAGGAGGGGGTGGTGGACTGTGTCGAAGGCTGCAGAGAGGTCAAGGAGTAGGAGCACTGAATAGTGGCCATTAGCTTTGGCGGTTAGCAGGTCGTTGGTGAGGTGAGGAGGGCGGTTTCGGTGGAGTGTAGGGGACGGAAGCCGGACTGTAGGGGATCGAGGAGGTTGTTGTCGGTGAGGTGGGAACTCAGGCGGGTGTAGACGAGGCGCTCGAGGAGTTTGAATGTAAATGGCAGCAGGGAGATGGGTCTGAGGTTGTTCGGGTCATTGGGGTCCAGGGAGGGATTTTTAAGTATGGGGGTGATGTGCGTGTGCTTCAGAGGGGAGGGGAATGCGCCAGTAGAAAGGGAGAGATTAAAGATGTGGGTGAGGGAGCGTAGGATGGAGGGGGAGGGAGGTTGTAGGAGTTGAGGGGACATTTCCGTGGGCCGTCCTAAATACGAGCGATGCGTAAAGAAGTCCCTGACTGTTCTGAAAATGCGCCACACCGGACCGCACGGTGCTTTGGTAGCATGTGGTCTGGCACCTGCAGGAACGTGTCTGTCAGCGGATGGTGATGTCATGAAGAATGGCGCTGCTTCACGTCTGCTGATTGAGAGTGCGTTTCTCTTGGTGACGGGAAGTGCGCAATTCTTTGCATGTTCCCAGCTTGCCGTGATGTGATCCTCGCCTGACATGCCTCTTTTGTACAAGAAATGATTTTTTCTGTCTGGAGAAGCTGCAACTTTGCATTGAGTGCGATTATTACATCCATTATCTGAGGAAAACCGCGTGCAAATCTGCGTAATGAGCTGAAATAATCGACCATCGCGGGAGGAATCGTCCCGGGAACTGTGCCGGGGATATGAAGGACACAAAGGAACTGCACTAAGAGAATGATCAGTGATCCGTGTGTGGGAAGAAACAATGTATCAACTCCACTCGGAAACAACGTATACAATGTATCAACTCCACTCGGAAACAACGTATACAATGTATCAACTCCACTCGGAAACAACGTATACAATGTATCAACTCCACTCGGAAACAACGTATACAATGTATCAACTCCACTCGGAAACAACGTATACAATGTATAAACTGTCCTGATGTGACCTGTAGTCTGTTTATACATCGGGTATCTTCCCTCGTCCTATTATTATCCTACAATTATATTTATATCCGTCTTCAGTGTGCTGTGCCATCTCTGTATGGGGGGGTCTGTGCCGTCTCTGTATGGGGGGGTCCTGTGCCGTTCTGTATGGGGGGGGGTCTGTGCCATCTCTGTATGGGGGGGGGTCCTGTGCCGTCTCTGTATGGGGGGGTCTGTGCCGTCTCTGTATGGGGGGGGTCCTGTGCCGTCTCTGTATGGGGGGGGGTCCTGTGCCGTCTCTGTATGGGGGGGGTCCTGTGCCGTCTCTGTATGGGGGCGTCCTGTGCCGTCTCTGTATGGGGGGGGGTCCTGTGCCGTCCCTGTATGGGGGGGGGGGTCCTGTGCCGTCCCTGTATGGGGGGGGGTCCTGTGCCGTCCCTGTATGGGGGGGGGGGGGTCCTGTGCCGTCCCTGTATGGGGGGGGGGGGGTCCTGTGCCGTCCCTGTATGGGGGGGGGGGGGGGTCCTGTGCCGTCCCTGTATGGGGGGGGGGGGGGTCCTGTGCCGTCCCTGTATGGGGGGGGGGGTCCTGTGCCGTCCCTGTATGGGGGGGTCCTGTGCCGTCCCTGTATGGGGGGGGGGTCCTGTGCCGTGCCCTGTATGGGGGGGGGTCTGTGCCGTCCCTGTATGGGGGGGGGGTCCTGTGCCGTCCCTGTATGGGGGGGGGGGGGGGTCCTGTGCCGTCCCTGTATGTGGGGGGGGGGTCCTGTGCCGTCCCTGTGTCCTCTTATGGGGGGGGGTCCTTGTGCCATCTCTGTATAATGGGGGTTCCTGATTCCATCTACACTGAAAGTCCCCATGTGGGCTGTGATGGGGGTGTGGCTTCCTAGTTGGAGGGTAGATTGGCAGTGTTGTTGGTCTCACTGGTTCATTCGCCCTCAGCGCCAACCTCAACCATTATTCTCCAACCTGATTCCCCTCCATCGCCAACCCAATCCCCTTATCCATCTCCAACATGATCCCCTCCATCTCCAACCTGATCCCCTCATCTCTCAAACCTGATCCCCTCCATTCTCCAACCTGATCCCCTTCATCTACAACCTGATCCCCTCCATCTACAACTGATTCCCCTCCTAATCTACAACCTGATCTCCCTCCATCTACAACCTGATCCCTCATGCCCAACTGATCCCCTCCATCGCCAACCTTCTTAATTCCCTCCATCGCCAACTGATCCCCTCCATCGCCAACCTGATCCCTCCATCGCAACCTAATCCCCTCCATCGCCAACCTGATCCCCTCCATCTCCAACCTGATCCCTCATGCCCAACGTAATCCCCTCCATCTCCAACCTCAACCATTATCTCCAGCCTCATCCCCCTCCATCGATCGCCAACCTAACCCTTCATATCCTACCTAACCCTGAATCCTCCGGTATCCATGACTCTAGTAATACATGCTATGCTGTCATAGCGATCCATTATATTGGCAGAATGTGTTGCGATCGTTGTTCGGTCCCGATGATTGCTCTGTCAGCAGTTGTTGTGATCGCACGTTTTTGTAAAGTAGACCCTCTCTCCTGGGCTGGTAGTACCTAATGTCAAATCCATCCACACTTGCAGTCTCACAGCGAAGCCCACCCAAAGCAGCTTTCCTGTGATGTGACAACGATGCCGCTCTGCCTCCTCAAGTCAGAGCAGAGTTGTCACGCTCGTATCACTTGAAGTATTCTCCTTCACTGCTTCCTGGGCAGCTACATGTGAGGTTATGGATTAGAGGAGCTGGGCCAGCACAGGCAGTAGTTAGATGCTCCTAGAAGAGAAGTCTATGAGGTGCAAGAGGGGACTCTTTGCATGTCTCCTCTCTCTAGGGAGTCGCACTCTTCCTAGAGTAGTCATGTTTTCTAGGAAGTTCAGACGCATTGCAAGTCGATTAAAAAAAGAATTTATCGGAACACAAAAAAAAAAAAAAATGCAGCATGTAGAATTTTAACATTCTTGATTTTTCTGCGCTTTTATCTGCATTTTTTTAGTTTTAATTTTTTAATTCGTTATCAGGTTTTCTTTAAAAACTGAACTCCAGGAACGAATTGACTTGCATTGGGCCAGCTTGGCAGGGGGGGTAATTCTCCATATCAAGATGGCCGACTGGGGAAGATGTACATCACTGTAGATGTCCACAATGAGATGAAAGGGATGAGGGGCTGCATGAAGGGGAGGAGCTGCATGAAGGGGAGGAGCTGCATGGAGTGGAGAGTTTTTTTGTTTTTTTTTTTGTTCGATGCTTTACATACAGTGGTAGCTGTGATCCTCCGGGGTCCTGCTCCAGCAACTTCCCCCTTACCTCACGGTGCCTTTCACTCAGCACTGCCGCCCATTCACAGAATTCATTGCGTTTTCTTCAATGAATACTGGTGGTTTATCTGATTGATTGACCAGGTTGGATGGATGATGTCACGATCTACCCTTGTCCAATCAGAGAAAGCTTTGGGTATTCATAAAAAAAAAAAAAAAGATAGAGGCGCTGTGTGGTGTAAATTTGACAAGAACTGTCCCCAACCTGTTGATGTTTTCCTTCATGGTCCCCCCCTTGATGGTTTCCTTCATGGTCTCCCCCCCCTTGATGGTTTCCTTCATGGTCCCCCCCCTTGATGGTTTCCTTTCATGGGCTCCCCCCCTTGATGGTTTCCTTCATGGCTCCTCCGCCTTGATGGTGTTCCCTTCATGGGCTCCCCCCCCTTGATGGTTTCCTTCATGGGCTCCTCCCCCCTTGTTCCCTTTCAATGGTTTCCTTCATGGGCTCCCCTCCCCCCTTGATGGTTTTCTTCATGGGCTCCTCCCCCTTGATGGTTTCCTTCATGGGCTCCCCCCCTTGATGGTTTCCTTCATGATCTCCCCCCCCTTGATGGGTTTCCTTCATCGTGGCTCCCCCCTCTTGATGGTTTCCTTCATGGGTTCTCTCCCCCCCCTTGATGGGTTTTCTTCGTGGTCTCCCCCCTCTCATGGTTTCCTTCGTGGCTCCTCCCCCTTGATGAGGTTTTTCCTTCGTGTCTCCCCCTTCTTGATGGTTTCCTTCTGTGGTCCTCCCCCTCTTGATGGGTTTCCTTCGTGGCTCCTCCCTTCATGCATGGTTTTCCTCCTCCCCCCCTGCTTGATGGTTTCCTTCTGATGGCTTTCCCCCCCTTTGATGGGTTTTTCCTTCGTGGACTCCCCCCCTCCTTTGATGGTTTCCTCCTTCATCGGGCTCCTCCCCCTTCTTGGATGGTTTCCTTCTTGATGGGCTCCTCCCCTTGATGGTTTCCTTGTGGTCCCCTCCCCCCCTTGATGGTTTTCTTCATTGGGACTCCCCCCTCTTGATGTTTTCTACACAATCATGGGTTCTCCCCCTTTGATGGTTTCCTGCTACGTGGTTCCCCCCCACTTGATTTCCTACATGGTTTCCTTGATAGGTTTTCCCTGATCTCCCCCCCCTCTTGATGTTTTCTTTCGTGGTCTCTCCTCCCCGATGGTTTTCTCCCCATGTATTCTTCTTGATTGTTGGTTTTTTTTTCACC